GGTCCCCGGGGAATTATTCCCCCCAATACAAATAGCCTGAGAATTTTGAACCCAATAAAGGTAGCCAGAGGAAATGTTTTTGAACCTAGAGTAAAAAGGTAGGATGATGGTGATGATGGCTGGTCTGGGGACCCGGCAGTGAGGTACACTCTCCGGGGCAGGTCCATCCCACTATGTCAGTATTTCACTGTTACTCAGAGAGTCAAATGGCTAACTGTTACGAGCTTCAAGCATTTAATTAGCGACTAAAGTCTAAGATTGTCCTCCAAGAAACAATCCTGAAGAGCAATGAGGCACAATACCGTAAGTTTCTCTCTCCTATGTCTGGGTTATTCATCACGGTGGCCCGTGGCCTGGTGGCAAAAGATCTCGCTTCACACGGCGAGTTGTCCGGGTTCGATTCCTGGCGAAGGGGTGGAAACATCGGACGTGTTTCCGTACATTGGTTGTGCATGTTCACCATCAGTAAAATAGGTACCTGGGTGTTAGTGGACTGGTGTGGGTCGCATCCTGGGACAAAACTGACCTAATTTGCGGGAAATGCTCATCATAACAAGCGGCTTTCTATATAGTAGTAAGTCATTGGTGTCAGCTATGGTCTGTATAAGTTGTATCATGTACTCCTAGTAAATATATTATTATTATATCCTTTATAACTCGCTAGTCCTTTGAAAAGGCTGTTATAAATCTTTTAGCTTTATGCATTGTAGAAACATAAACATCTGATGGGCAGACACCTTTGACGGGTCTAATTTTCCTGCTCTCGCAGCTTGACTCAGGTCCAGGCTCGTCTGGTGCTTGCTTGGTCAACCAAGCTGTTGTTGCTGGCGCCCTGCTGACCCACATGTCCATCACAGCTTGGGTGATCTAGATAACCTTGAACACGTGGCACATCTTGGGGAAGCGCTGAACCTGTAGGGGGGTCATACAGCACGCGACATCTTTTAGAATTTCCATAATCAAGGGGAAACGCTAAAGCCGTAGGGGTTCATCACCTACGGAATAGGATGTAATCATGATCTAAGAAAAGGAAGGATAGCTCCACTTCCTTGGATGAAGTCTTATCTAGATGAATAAGACACTTGAGCAACACGAGGGTATCATTGTGGAGATGTGTCGCCAACCAGTGGCTTTATCAGTCCAGTACTGTGTATAATGACGGAAAACCAAGCAATAGTTTGAGGTAATCAGTCCCTCAGCCTTGAAAATTGATGGATCAGATTCATCAATGCTGAGGGACTGATCACCTCAAATTACTATTTCATGGATTCCATCATCACAGTATTAATCTTACTGAACTGACAACAGCCATTTTCTGGCGAAAATCGCACAAGAAATAACCAAATGTTACACATCTGTCTTGCTCATTTGTTTGTGGTTCTTGTTTACCAATTAGAGTATAAGCCCCCATCCCCTGCCTTGTTACAACAGGCAGTTACCCACCTAGGCAGGGTGACCCCGAGGAAGAAGAAACACTTTCGTCATTCACTTCCATTACTGTCGTGCCAGAGGTGTGCAGATATATAGTTAAACTGCAACATATCTAAACATAACCAAGTCAAGCGTTAAACCAGTAAGGTTCACAAGAGCCTTGCAGTGAGGACCAACCCTGTGTAGATTGTTGTTAAAGAATCTCAGATTATACATTTGTGATGTAGTCCACTGTGCTTTTGAGGTCGCTAAGGGAAAACCTAGTTTAAAACCCAAATTTTATGGTCACACCTTGCCTTAGCAAATAGCTGTTAACACGGCCTTTCAGCTTAAATATGAGACCTTTTGTCCTTGACGGTGTCAGATCTCCGGCCGTCAGGGTCAAACACTTTTGTACACCTCATTGTGGGGGGTGCTTTGAAGACCCCTATAAGCCCAAGGAACAGCTGAGCAAAGGAGATTTGAGCGGAGCTGCTGCTAGTGTGCAGGGTTTTGGGGGAGGGCTGCTGGAGTCTCTGGAGACATTGGGCAGAGTACTGGCTTGGAGCAGTGCTTGTGCTGTTTTAGGTCTTGGGACCTGTGGCTTGTGTGTGATTTAGTTCCTGTGGTTTAACTGTCCTCTGAACTATTTTTGTAAGTTATATTCTGTTTCGTCAGTTGATTGTAATTTCCCCGTCTCACTGTTATGTGTGCCCATTTATCTAAACCCCAATAAGTTCTCCTGTTCCCAAATATATTATTTGACAAGGACTTAATAATAAACTGTGTTTGAATGGAATAGTAATATTCACTGTCCCCGTTGTTTACTTACCTCCGCTAATCACTTGACTCACCTCTCCTGCCTATCCCCTGCCCTTTTCCCTCCCTTTACTCCCATATTCCCCAATACCCCCACATGACAGTTTCTTACAAGAACCTGTCTTGTACCCGTTCACTTTACTTCTTCAAGGGTAATGGACTGATTATATCTCTACCTCTGCTAACTCTTCTGTACTGGACTGTAGAAGCCTACTGTGTAGGCGAAGCGTTTCAGGAATCAAGATACCCAACTGCTGAACAATATCTTAACCTGTCTGCATTGTATACCATTACCATATTCACTTCTGATACGTTAGTTTTGACCTAGAATTATTATACTGTACTTAAAAGCGCTAAACCCATAGGGCGTCATACAGCATCTTTTGCAGGAAAACGGTCAGCGATCAGGTTTGATCCGAGAGGCAGAGTTCCCGTGCATCAAAGGATACCTAAAGAGGGATTAAACCCTAAGATTACAAACTTGGCATAGACACCCAAACTCATGTTATTCAGACCTTCATTATGTATCACAAATGCAAAATATGGTAAAAAAATAATACAAATTAAGAAACTTTATATTTTAATTTTTTTCCATGTGTTTTTACAAAAAAAAAAAAAAAAAAAAAAAAAATATATATATATATAAAAAATATATATATATATATATATATATATATATATATATATTTATATATATATAAATATATATATATATATATATATATATATATATAATAGTTATAAAATCTGGTATCACAGGTAATAAGGTACTTTAATTCTGGACTTAAAATATTGCACGTATTAATAATAATAAATTAAAACAATAGTAATGTGCATGCAGTATTGTCCAGGTTATAAACCCAGGAAACAATCACAATTGGATTGTTGAATAAATAAGATTAGATCCATCAAATATAAAAAGATAATAAGATTAGATCAATCTACAAAATAAAGTTAGCTCACTCTACAAGATGATCATCAGTTCCAGTTTGACTAGTATTACAAAATTAGTGAAGTATTAGTTGAATTCTTAGTTTGGTGTTGATCATAGTGAAATGTGAATGATGCTCACACAGGATGAGAAGTGAAACAGAAGGCAGAAGAGGAAAAATAAGATGAGAAGTGAAACAGAAGGCAGAAGAGGAAAATAAGATGAGAAGTGAAACAGAAGGCAGAAGAGGAAAAATAAGATGAGAAGTGAAACAGAAGGCAGAAGAGGAAAAATAAGATGAGAAGTGAACAAAGGCAGAAGGAAAATAAGATGAGAAGTGAAACAGAAGGCAGAAGAGGAAAAATAAGATGAGAAGTGAAACAGAGGCAGAAGAGGGGAAAAATAAGATGAGAAGTGAAACAGAAGGCAGAAGAGGAAAAATAAGATGAAGTGAAACAGAAGCAGATGGAAAAAAGATGAGAGTGAAGAAGGAGATGAGGAAAAAAAGACGAGAATGAGAACAAAGGAGAAGAGGAAAAAAGCAATGAGCATGAAACAGAAGGCAGAAGAGAAAAGATGAGAGAAAAGAAGCGGAGAGTAAAAATGATGAGAAGTTTATATATCAAGGAGGCGAAGAGCGAAACAAATAATGAAGAGAAGTAGATAAATATTAGATGGTGTGGATAAAAACAGAAATGCAACAAAAATGAGGAAAGTGGCAGAGCAGAAACAAGAATTGAAGTAGGGATAAAATGAGAGATGTTTAAATAGTACAAAGTAAATGTCTTAGCAAAACAAGTACATACATACCAAAATAATTAATAGGTGAATAGTAAAGCTGTAGAAAGAACCCTTCCTTCTAGGGGACAGGTTCCTTGATGCTGTGACAGGCTCTTGAATCAGAGTAATTTCAGCAGTCTCTCCTTCCCAGGATCAAACCTAATTACCTCCCATTCTTGAAGCATTGCAGACTCCTCAAGTTTTAGCTCTTTCCAATGAGTAATATTTACATAAACTCAAGAGGGAGCACTAAAATCGTAGGAGTCAATGCAGTGCCTGGGAATAGGATGTAATCAGATTCAATCCAAGGAAGTCTAGGATAACTCAAATTCCTTAGAGGAGTCCTTCACTTGCGAACCATGGCAATACTGCCCTATAATGAATTTAGAGTGCAACATCTGGTAAGTGTTATTCGTAGACGTTTCGTCTAGCCAGGTGCTTGTACCAATGCAATACAGAGAAGTGGAGAAAGTAGAAAAATGAGGTAATCAGTACAAGGAGCAATGTTCTGTACACAAATCAGTACAAGGAGTAATGTTCAGTACACAAATCAGTACAAGGAGCAATGTTCAGTACACAGTCTTGACGACTGTCAAGACTTGTGTTTGCTTCTAGGCTGATGGACTGATTATCTCGTCTTCTACCTCTCCGTTTCCTATATTGTATCAATAAAGCCACTGGTTGACGAAACGTCCACAGAATCAGATACTCAAATACTGTACATGTGTAATTGATAATCTTGTTTGTATTACACACCACTGATATACACAATCTCCCCTATCCCTTAAAGCTACATAAATGTTATTACAGTTACCATATACAAGTGAGTTATCATTTGTGAATGCACATAGAGATGGACCAACCATAAAGACTTATAACTATTGTGATATATAAGTGTAAATTTGTACTTTAATTTGCACTAGGTAATTAAGTCAGATCCACAGACAAAGGACTATACACAATATACTCTTACAATGACTAGGATCAATTTGTACTATTAGTAATCAAACTGAACTAAGTAGTCAGTCAAATCGTCCGACAAGACTATTTAGACAAAAGACTAGATACTATAAATTACATCAGTGAGTAGATACTTCAAACTTTCACAGCCTTATATATTGTTAGTTTAAATAAACAAAAGTTTTTAAATAGCTTTAAAAAATCATAACTGCAATCAGAACATTAATTTTGAGTAAGAAAATTTGTTAAGAGAACTATATCAGCTTAATTATAAAATTCCAGTGTAAACCTTGGTATTAGACACAAAGGAGTTTAAATATATGTGAGCAAACAATGGGATATATGAGAACTTTTCAGCCCTGGAACCTTGATTACTTCTCAGAAATGATCAAGGTCTCAGGACTAAAAATGTTTTCAAATATGTCCTAGTGTATACTCATTCCTTTTTAAATCACTATTATAATCATGTTGGGCAATAATCTGCTAAATTATTAATGTACTGTTGCACAAAATACCTGGTAAATTAGCAATTTTTGTTATGCAATAAACCTGCTGAATTATGAACATGTAATAATAGATATATATCTTCTACATGAACAAATTATTCCAAATCTATATAGCAATGCTTGTGTGCTTTTAATTAGTCAATTAAAAATAGATTACCTTATTAACATTACAAAATCTACAGAATATAAACGAGTCACAAACCATTCTTATATTTTTGTAAAATTTGTTCTTGTAGCAAAATACTCACGATAATTACAATAGTTAAATTATAATACATAAATTGGCACATATATCTAGCATAAACTAGTCAATAAATTCAACAGTGAAAACTAAGTGCTAAACTGTATAAATTTCAAACCCTGCATACTAATTTATAAATTCAACATTCATTACAAGTGTTAAACTGTATAAATTCAAATCTTCCATACTAGTTTATAAATTATCAAACGTAGCATACAACTAGTTTATAAATTATCAAATGTAGCATACAACTAGTTTATAAATTATCAAACCTAGCATACAACTAGTTTATAAATTATCAAACCTAGCATACAACTAGTTTATAAATTATCAAACTAGCATACAATATAGTTTATAAATTATCAAACCTAGCATACAACTAGTTTATAAATTATCAAACCTAGCATACAACTAGTTTATAAATTATCAAACCTAGCATACAACTAGTTTATAAATTATCAAACGTAGCATACAAACTAGTTTATAAATTACAAACGTAGCATACAACTAGTTTATAATTACAAACGTAGCATACAACTGTTATAAATTACAACCTAGCATAACTGTTTATAAATTAACCCTATCATAAAAGTTTATAAATCCGCCAACTTAGCATAAAGCTTAGATAAATATTCAGACTTACAGTGTATACCACTTACGCCACAGCATAGCTAAAACAGTAATGTGGTCGTGTTCCTGGGATGTTGGATTGTGGTGGTGGGTCACATCATGGCAACAGACCGGGCACGGGGGCGCTGACCCCCCTGGAACTCTCTAGGTTTCTAACACAGCACCAGTAGCAGTCCCCACGATGAACTGAACCTGAAATTAAAAAAAAAAATCATGTTGATTAGTTATTAGTGTGAATTATAGCACTGAAATTTGATGTCTTTTCAGTACTCGAAATATCAAATGCAAAAGTTACCCCGTTCTATATAAATATCACATTTGAGGTAATTATAGTTGAGCAATCTTAGCAATCACAATAAGTTAGGTGAGGTAGTTAAAAACTTGCATATATCACAGTTAAGAGCAATTAAAACAAAAAAATGCATGTAAGTGTAGAGTAAGTTGTAATGTGTAACATGTTGTAGTGATGCACAAGCACATACGTTCTCATGCAGAAGAGTTCACATGTTCTCATGCAGGAGAGCTCACATGCTCTCACACACGAGAGCTCATATGTTCTCATGCAGGAGAGCTGACATGCAGTGTACAGGTAGAGTGGTGTTGTTTCAAGCGGGTAGAGCACCCTGCTTGACAGGATGCTGTAACTGGTTTGTCTTTGGGTTCAGTTCCATTTTCTTTTGATTCTGCTCCAGGTTGGTCATCAGGTGGTTTCGACGTTAGATGTTCAGGACAGGATATAAACGGTGCCTCCATTCTGCTGCTGGTAGATTTGTATTTGCTGCATCAACCTCGCCTGCTCCTGCGTAGTTGTCGAACTCCTCCTGCAGGCCATTTTTCTCTGCAGTAACAGTAATCCAGCGCCTTCTGCATATCCAGTAGTCTCTGCTTTTGCAGAGTCACGATGTTCTCTGGCATTCTGGGCGTTCTTGCGTTTCCTCTCCAACTCTTCATTTTCAAATGGGGTTTCAATTTCGTAAACTTTTGGCTTCTTGGGGCGTCGCCTGCGGGAAGGTCTGGCCTCATCTTGTGACTTGCGTTTACGTCCTCTCTTCTTGGGAGCTTCCTCGCAGAAGATGTCTGAAGGTGCCACTGCCACCATATGCTCGAAGTTGAAGTCATCAGCTGCAGTGACGGGCATGGACTCCACTGTACTTGGAATGCTCACTTCTTTCAATGCTCTGCACAAGTACTTGGAATGGTGACCTCACTGGTGAACATCTGTGTTACAAAGGTTGGATTTATCGAGGTCCCGTATATGGGGTGTCTACCACAGGGTCCCAGGGTCATGGGTGGCCCCTGCCTTCAAAGTTGTATAGTTCACTATATCGTCAGATTGCCTTGAAGGGCTCAGTCTGGGTGTCAGACTCAAGGTCACTACCTAGAATAAAATTTACCAGCCCACCTTCATCTGTCAGTTGATCCAAGTCAAACTCGATAACTGTTCACTTTCATCACGTCCCTTCGCGGGGGCCATTTTGAAGACTTGTTGGCCGAAGGGATTCGTTTCTG